GGGGGAGGAGAGGGAGAGGAGAGGGAGAGGAGGGGAGGGAAAGAAAGGAAAGAAAGCAGTTTGGGGCGGGCACAGTAGCTCATGCCTGTAATCCCAACACTTTGGCAGGCTGAGGCAGGCAGATCGCTTGAGCTCGGTAGTTGGAGATCAGGTTGGGCAACAAGGCATTTAAATTTTTTTTTTCATTTAAAAGGCAGTTTTTACGAGGGCAAATGCTGCTGAATTATTAAGGAGGCTAAAGACTACAAAGTGTCATTTGAACCTAGCACTGAGAATTTAAGGAGAGCAGTTTTACTGCAGTGATACAAACAAAGGGTAGGCAGCCTGAAAACCAGCTGGGAACAAAAGAATGAGAGGAGCTTTAGGCTGAGGACAGAGGTCCCAGAGTAAGCAGGGAGAAATATGACCTAAAGCATACAGAGGTTTGATCCCGGACAAGTGAAGGGCTACCATTTCCTCGAGATGAGAGTAGAGTACAAGTTTGAGAGTAGCAAGCAGAGGAAGACCAGGAAGCTGAAAGTTCTTACTTATTAAGGGACTGTTTTTTTCTCTTAGAAAGACATTTATAGACCACAAAAAAGGGAGATAAGTAGGAAGGTGAAAGGAGTGAAAAAGCTGTTGTTGAAGACAGGAAATAGAGGCTGGGCACCGGTGGCTCATGCCTGTAATCCCAGCACTTTGAGAGGCTGAGGCAGGTGGAACATGTGAGGTCAGGAGTTCGAGACCAGCCTGGTCAACATAGTGAAACCCCATCTCTACTAAAAACACGAAAATTAGCCAGGTGTGGTGGTGCACGCCTGAAATCCCAGCTACTCGAGAGGCTGAGACCCAAGAATCTCTTGAACCTGGGAGGCAGAGGCTGAGGTCCAAGAATCTCTTCAACCAGAGAGTCAGAGGCTGCAGTGAACTGAGAGTTCAGCACTGCACTCTGGCCTGGAAGACAGTGAGACTATCTCAAAGAAAAACAAAGAAAAAAGAAAAAAGGAGATAGGCCTGACCTAACCCAGAAGGTGCTACAGGCTCACAAAACCTTGAACAGCTCTACAGAATCCCCTTTTAAATTTCAATTCCAGAGTAATTCTGATGGAAATGAAAAACAGTACATAACCTACGTAAGGCTACTTAGGAATATTTATCAAAATGCAAATACATTCGTCTTTTGACCTGGCACCCTTACTTCTGGGAATGTATTTAACAAATATTCCTGACAAGTAGAATGATATATATACAAAATTATTCACTGGAGCACTATTAGTGAGCAACAGAAATGGAAATAGCCCAAGTAAATGCCCATAACAAAAGACATGTTAAATAATGCATCCTGGCCAGGCTTGGTGGTTCCCACCTCTAATCCCAGCACTTTGGGAGGCCGAGGTGGGAAGATCTCTTAAGGCCAGAAGTTTGAGACCAGCCTGGTTATCATGGTGAAACCCCCATCTCTGTTAAATAGAAAGGAGGAAAACGATGTTTAAATAAAAATTGAAGAATTGAGGGCCAGGCGCAGTGGCTCACCCAGGGCACGGAGCCTGGCTTTTTTTAGTAGAGAAAAACTATTAAAAATAGTACAGCTGTGCCCAATGGCTTATGCCTGTAATCCCAACACTTTAGGAGGCCGAGGTGGGATGATTGCTTGAGCTGGGGAATTGGAGACAAGCCTGGGCAACATGATGAGACCGTCTCTACAAAAAATAAAATTAAGCAGACATGGTGGCATGCACCTGTAGTCCCAGCTATTTGGGAGACTGAAGTGGGAGGATAACTTGAGCCCAGGAGGTAGAGGCTGCAGTGACCTGTGGGGGTGAAAAAATAACCACAGGAGAGTGGGTGAGACAAATAATTCTCAATACGTATACCATTGAGATGGTATATACTGTTAAGACGGTAAGTCATTATGTAATGCTTTACCTGCTCAGAACAAAAAAAACTTAAAATCCCTTTTAAGCTTCCCTAAATTAGGGATCCTCTATTCAGAAAAATGCACCTAATTATGGAAACACCAGCATCCCTGGACCTTAGGTTGGGAAGGTTATGATCTACCATTCAGGGCTTAAATGTTATGCTGTCTGCAATTTACTATTTTTTAAAATGTCAGCAAAAATGAACCAACCATGGCATAACGTTAAGAACTATTAAATCTTTCTACTTAAGAACTATTAAATCTTTCCAGTTGCCTAACCAAAAAAAAAAAAAAACAAAAAAAAACTATTTAATCCAGGCTGGACACAACCCAGCACTCTCGGAAGCCCAGGCGGGCGGATCACTTGAGGTTAGGAGTTTGAGACCATGGCGAAACCCTGTCTCTTTAAAAAGAAAAACAAAACACTATTAAATCTAGATGATGACAGGTTTATGGAACTTAGTTATATTACTCTACTTTTCTGATAATAAATTTCAATGACAAAAAGTAAACAAAAATATAAAAGCAATATCAAAAAAGCCAAACCCGTGTTCTGGGCTCCGGCATCCTTCAAGTCTCCCCACAGCAGAAACACAGGAGGTGCACCGAGTCTTACCGGATCTGCTCAACGGCCTCCCACGTCAGGGTTCTGGGCGGAGCACCAGGCGCCTCCATTTGCCTTCGTATTTTCTGGAATCGGATTGCTTTTTTCTGTCGCTTCAGGGTGCTGGGGGAAAGAACCAAGGGCGGAAGCCATGCGTGGAAGCAGAATGGATGTCTGAAGAGCCTCAGGCTAAATCAGGAGCGCCCAGCCCTCTTCTCTTGGATTGCAAGGGCAACCGGGCCACGTTGCCTGCTTAGAGCTGCTCTGTCCACCCAAAAGCTACCACCTAGAACACAGTAACTGCCCGTGAGATGCCGAACTTTCTATACTGGTGATGAAATATGTCACTAGTGAAGGGACCAGGGGTTCCCGGGGCGCTGAACACCTAAGGCTGCGCCCCTGACAACGGGTAAGAAGGAACAAGGGACGTCACGCAAGCAGCCGCAGGACGCCCAGCGCCAAGGCGGCGCAGCCTAGGGCGCCGGGGCGCGAGGCCCTGCTTCAAGCTGAGGGCCCGGGGAGAAGCCGGTACCTCTCCACCTCCTGCAGCTCCCGTTCCTCTGGCTCCCAGTCGGTATCGGGGTCCGGCTCTCGGCCGATAGGGCCTGGGCCCGCCACTCCCCGGGTCGCAAACCCACAGCGAGCAACGGCAGCGCGAACGCGGCCGCCCAGCAGGAGCCTCAGGGTAACCGCCATGTCGACGTTAACTAGTCTTCAGTAGTCGGCTACGGGACAGCAGCGGAAGTAGAGGGGCAGAACCGGAAGTGAAAAGGGCGGGCCGGAAGCTGGGTGGTTGCAAGTATTTCCTGCCTCACTTGGTTTGGAGAAGATCTGAGCCTGCGCCGCTCTTTGGCCCACCCTTTGTGGCAGTAGCCGTGGAGAGGGTTTTCCTGAAACGCGAGGGCCGAAATGAGGCACATGACGCGCCTGGAAAACCGCATAAACTTTAATTAAAAAACGGATTCAGTTTCCAAGCGCCGCCTCTCCGGCCCAGCGGCTGCCCAGGCCTGCCTGTCTTCACCACCGCCGTGGGCAGGGCTTCCGCTTAGCGGTCTTCTGACGGCGACAGCCCGGTGACTTGGGCACTCGGCTCCTCTGAGAAAGGGGCTCTTTGTGTCTTGGATGGCCTTCAGCCCCGGGCCGCACCTAGGGTTCAGACCCATCACCTAGCGACAAACCCAGGCTAAGGCTTGATGAGCAGAAATCAGTACTTGGCTGTCCTTGGCGCCTCTTCATCTAGGCTTTCCCGATCCACAAATAATCTTAGAGTATTGAGGAATTCTTGGTGTCTTTGTATTTTGCCTTATGCAAATGGGTTTCCTGGGCAGGGCTTTTCAAAGTGGAACTTGGTGGCAATCTTTCATTTAGCACAGATTGAATGCCCTTTGCCCCTTTGGAAACCTGGGAGGTTCTCCAGGAGAGGTAGAGTGGTCGGCTTCCCTCCTGCTTTTACCTGAACTGACTGATGTTGAAGAGTGTTCTGGAACGCTGCAGCATCGGTGCAGACGCAGGGCAGAGGGGAACCTTGGCTGCTCTGTGTTCAGAGTTTACCACGGAGGGCAAGGTGCATTCAGCCCAGGAGTTAGATGCCACCCTTTCCGGTTGCAGAAGATAGCCCTGCTTTGGGGTTAAAGTGGGTGGCACTGATCCTGCCAGGACTCGGTTTATGGCTTCTAGCCTTCTGCTGGCTTGGCCTTCTGCAGTGGAAACATGGATGTCCCTCAGTTGGTACTCACGGAAGAGATCTGCTCACCTCCTTCCCAACTGTGGCCCAATGACACAGAAGAAGGGCGTCCCATGCGTCCCCGCACTGTCTTTACCACTCTGTATTGCCATTGGAATGGTGTGTCTACTTGTCCATGTTCCTGTTACCTTTGTTGAGTGCTAGGACTGTATTTTTGCCATTTTTATCACCAAGGTCTACTGTACAAAAAGGATTAAACAGGCCTGCTGCGGTGATTCACACCTCTAATGCTAGCACTTTGGGAGGCGGAGGTGGGCAAATCACCTGAGCTTAGGAGTTCAAGACCAGCCTGGGCTACATGGCGAAAATAAAATATACAAAAGTTAGCCAGGCATGGTGGCGTGTGCCTGTAGTCCCAGCTACTCAGGAGGCTGAGGCAGGAGAATTACTTGAGCCCGTGGGCAGAGGTTGCAGTGAGGTGAGGTCAAGCCATTGTACTCCAGCCTGGGCAACAGATAGAGACCTTGTCTCAAAAAAAAAGAAAGGAGTAAATGGATACCCTGACTTCCCCATTTTCGCCCTGGTGGAAGTGCCATATTATATTTTGGGAGCATCCAAGCTCTATGTTTACTAGTGGCATTTACTCAGGTCCAAGTGACCAAAGCTAGTTTTGCATACTTACGGCTAGTGAGCCTGATTCTGGCACTGGAAAAATAGCGCCTCCCAGCCTTCTTCATTGACAATGAATAGGGGTTGATGGCTGCTGGCTCTCCTGTCCAGTTGAAGTTCTTGGGCTGCAGATGGCACCGGGGAACATGTGGGATTGCAGCATTCATGCTTAGCAGGGGCCCTAAGATCCTGGGGATTGATTCATGGGGCAGAACTGGATGCAGGAAATGAAAAGGGCCCCGCTCTTTGGCAGCCCCTCTTAGAAGCACCAATAGAACCAGACTCACAGACCTCAGTTCTTGACTGCCCAGCCTGTCCTAATGAAATCTAGGCTAGAGGAGAAGAGCAGTCCCTTACCACATGTTTATTATGTGAGTTTGGATGGAGCACTGGAAGGAGGAGGTAACTGGGAAAAATCTCTTCTAGGCCATGGTCACTGTCTAACCAGATACTCCTTTGGCGTTCAACAAAAACAGAAGACCCAACAGGTTTGCTGCTAGCCCAGGGAACAGTGAAAGCGGCAGCTGTTTTGTTGGCCCAAGACTGTTTACTTATCTCCCATGAGAGCCAGGGCACTGGCAGTGCTAGGGAGAAAATAGTACAGAAGCCACTGAGGGTGGTGGCCGTGATATTTGTCAGGCATGAGTGTGGGGTTATTTTGAGAGTAAGTTTCTTGTCAATGAGAGGGTTTGGAGCTGCACTTTTCTGGATGTCACACCTAAAACAAAGGAGCTTGGGAATAGACGCAAAAGGAATCAACAGACCCTCTCCCAAGGCCCCGCCAGCGCACTCTGCTTTCCCAGTCTCCACTGACAGACACCATCACACAAGCCTCCTTTGGTGAGGCCACAACCATGTGCTGGGACAACAGCCCTTGTTCCCTTTTCCTCTGGGAGGCTTCACGGGGACCCTCACCTGACACTCATGAAGTTTTTTCTGGCCCTGGGGGCCAGGGTGCTGCAGGCGGGTGAGCTGCTCTACAATACCCAGGCTTCGGATGAGCGTCTCCCTTTGTAGCAGGGCCTTCAACCGCTCCAGCTCTTCCTCTTCCACAATCTCTTGAGGTCTCATGGTGTCCAGCTGTCCCGGCAGCAGCTACAAGGTACATGAGACATAAATGCAGGATCTCCAAGGATGAGTCCCGAACCATGGCCCAGGATGGCTGCAGGCCTCCTGCCTGCTCTACCCTCATCCCTTCCCCGACCCAGTGCAGTTCCTTTTGCTCTCCATCCTCACCTCTTCTTCCAAAGGGCCACATTCAATTTACTGATTAGAAACCCCCCTCTCTCTCATGCAAAGGGAGGAGAGGACAGCAGAGATTCCCCTCTGTACTTGTCCCACCCCACTTTCCTGCAGAAAAAGAAGAGCCACAAAACCCCTGACACCTGTTTCTCCCAATTGTGGTTCCTGTAAACCAGGCGTGTGGAAAGGCTCTGGAGCCCTGGCCTGGGCCGGCTCTTCTCCCCAGCAGATTCACCCTGGTTCTGGTCCTTGGCCTTTTGCCTCTTAGTGCATGAGTTCTCCTGCTGTTCCTGCTTCAGGCGGATCTCCTCCAGTTGCTGCCTGACAAGATACAGCAGCTTCAGACACGAGGGAATTGGTGTTAGGGAGAAGAGGGGTGAGGAAAAATGGAGATGGGGAAAGAGTAGGAAATTACAATCTGTTCTTTGGACTGATGGGAGAGCAATGAGGGGGAAGATGGGAAACCTAAACTGAAAAGAGCCACTAAGAGTCGGATAGGATTATAACTCCATTCCTCCTTCCTCAAGTGTCTGGCTTCCCTGCTGGGGAGCAATGCTGCTGCAGGACTTGTCCCCACCTAGGTGTGCAGAGGAGAATGTCGGTCATAGTACCTGGCACACTCCTCTCTGGCCTTGGAAGCAGCAGTCTCCTGGAAGAGGGAGCCATTGTGCTTGAAGAAGCGGGCATACTTCTCCGTGTCAGGCCCAGGATAGATGCGCCGATATTTTCCCAGGTGGGAATCCTCATATTGTTCCTGGTCGAGCATTGCCACTTGGGATGGCTCAGTTTTTTCTTTCCTATGGAAAGCAAGCTCAATGAGTGAGAGGAGGGCTGTGGGGATGTTCTGTAGGGAAAGGAAGACTGGCTGAGCTTTGGAGACACTCCTGCTGGCTTCTTGACCTCCCGGGCCCCTGCCTAAATAGGGAAAACTGCCAGACCAACTTTGGCCAGCCGCACATGTGTGCAGCCATGAAAATAGGCTTGACTTCCAGAAATCTGATTTTCTTTTCTTTTTTGAGAGAGTCTTGCTGTGTCACCCAGGCTGGAGTGCAGTGGCACAATCTTGGCTCCCTGTAACCTCTGCCTCCCAGATTTACGTAATTCTCCTACCTCAGCCTCCCAGGTAGCTGGGTTTACAGGCATGCACCACCACGCCTAATTTTTATATTTTTAGTAGAGACAGGGTTTCATCATGTTGGCCAGGATGGCTTCAAACTCCTGATGTCCAGTGATACACCCACCATGGCTTCCCAAAATGCTGGGATTACAAGCGCAAGCTACCGCACCTGGCCTGATTTTCATCACTACTCATAATTTTCTTTATGAGTAGTGGAGAGGGGTCTACTTGTAAGCTAGCACTCTGTTATAGTCTTTTAGGTTTCTGACTGTAAAAGTAACATTATTTGATGTAAGCTTTTCATTAAAAAAAAAAAAATGTGGCCGGGCTTGGTGGTTCACACCTGTAATCCCAGCACTTTGGGAGGTTGAGGTGGTGGATCACTTGAGGTTGGGAGTTTGAGACCAGTCTGGCCAACATAGTGAAACCCAGTCTCTACTAAAAATACAAAAATTTGGCCGGGCATGATGGGTCGCACCTGTAATCCCAGCACTTTGAAATGCCGAGGCAGGCAGATCATGAGGTCAAGAGATGGAGACCATCCCAGCCAATATGGTGAAACCCAATCTCTACTAAAAATACAAAAATTGGCTGGGCACATTGGCTTACGCCTGTAATCCCAGCAGTTTGGGAGGCCGAGGCGAGTGGATCACCTGAGGCCGGGAGTTCGAGACCAGCCAGACCAACATGGAGAAACCCCGTTTCTACTAAAATACAAAATTAGCTGGGCATGGTGGCGCATGCCTGTAACCCCAACTACTCGCGAGGTTGAGGTTGAGGCAGGAGAATTGCTTAAACCTGGGAGGCAGAGGTTGCAGTCAGCCAAGGTCACGCCCTTGCACTCCAGCCTGGGCAACGAGAGTGAAACTCTGTCTCAAAAAAAAAAAATTATCTGAGTGTGGTGGCATGTCCCAGCTACTTGGGAGGCTGAGGCAGAAGAATTTTCTTGAACCCAGGAGGTGGAGGTTGCAGTGAGCCAAGATCGTGGCACTATACTCCAGCCTGGACGACAGAGTGAGACTTGTCTCAGAAAAAGAGAAAACAAATAATATATGTTCATTACAGAAAATTTAGAAGAGCAGAAAGAAGATAAAGCCTCCCATAATCTTATTATGTAATTAGGATGTTGATTATGAGCACGGATCTAGGACAGGAGGACCTTCTGACTTTGAATCCTGGCTCTGCCACTCACTAGCTTGTGCTTGCTTGCTTTTTTTTTTTTTTTGAGACATTGTCTCACTCTGTCCCCAGGCTGGAATCCAGTGGCACGATCTCGGCTCACTGAAACCTCCACCTACTGGGTTCAAGCAATTCTCCCGCCTCAGCCTCCCGAGTAGCTGGGACTACAGATTCGCACCACCACGCCCAGCTAATTTATTTTTTTTTTTATGGAGTCCCGCTCTGTCGCCCAGGCCGGAGGCCAGAGGTTGGGCGACAGACAGTCCCGCTCCATCGCCCAGGTGCCTGGTCTTGAACTCCTGACCTCAGGTGATCCCCCTGCCTCAGCCTCCCAAAGTGCTGGGATTACAGGCATGAACCACTGCGCCCAGCTGCTTGCTTTCTTGCTTTTTTTTTTTAAATGAAAATGAAATCATACAAGAATATTTTTATTTTGTTTTTAATTTTTTTTTTTTTTGAAACAAGATCTTACTCTGTCACCCAGGCTGGAGTAATGCAATCTTAGCTCACTGTAACCTTGGCCTCCCAGGCTCAAGCCATCTTCCCACCTCAGCCTCCCAAGTAGCTGGGAACACAGGTGTGTACCACGACACCTGGCTAATTTTTGTATTTTTTGTAGCGACAGGTTTTGCCATGTTGGCTAGGCTGGTCTCAAACTCCTGACCTCAAGTGATCCACCTCCCTCCACCTCCCAAAGTGCTGGGATTACAGGCATGAGCCACTGCACCTGGCCACCACAATATTTTTAAATGGCTGCCTAATACTCTAGCATACGATTGTATTTTGTTTATTTAGTCCAGTACTGTTCAAGCATTTTTGCTTATTGAAAGACACATTTTGGTCTGGCCTAGTGGCTCACATCTATAATCCCAGCACTTTGGGAGGCCGAGGCAGGTAGATCACCTGAGGTCAGAAGTTCGAGACCAGCCTGGCAAACATGGCGAAATCCCGTCTGTACTAAAAATACAATTGGCTGGGTATGGTGGCTTGTAATCCTAGCACTTTGAGATGCCTGAGGCAGGTGGATCACAAGGTCAGGAGTTCGAGACCAGCCTGGCCGATATGATGAAACCCCATCTTTACTAAAAATACAAAAATTGGCCAGGCGTGGTGGCACGTGCCTGTAGTCCCAGCTACTCAGGAGGCTGAGGCAGAAGAATTGCTTGAACCCAGGAGGTGGAGGTTACAGTGAGCTGAGATCGTGCCAGTGCTCTCCAGCCTGGAGACAGAGTGAGACTCTGTCTCAAAAATAAAATAAAATAAAATAAAATACAACAATTAGCCGGGTGTGGTGGTGCATGCCTGTAATCCCAGCTACTTGGGAGACTGAGGCAGGAGAATCACTTGAACCAGGGAGATGGAGGTTGCAGTGAGCTGAGTGAGACTCCATCTCAAAAAAAAAAAAAAAAAAAAAAAAAAAAAAAAAGACACACATTTTATGACCCTCAGGCACACAGTCCAGTCTTGTGGGAATAGCCATCGTATTTACAGTCCTACTTCACTCCCATTCATCATGCAGACACCTGAGTGCTTAGGATGGGCCAGGCCCTGCTGCGCTCATGGGGAATCAAACACACACTGCCCCTGCGTATCGGAATGCAAGTGGGGAGGAGCACTGTGATCATAGTGATAAGCAGACATCTACTCAAACTCATTTGTATGTATCACTAACAATTTACAATTTTAGTATCGGTAACCAATCACCATGTTTGTAACTCATTTTACAAAGAAAACAACAATGGGTGACCACACAGATGTAAACAATTCTCTATTATTGAATGACTAAACTGTTTTCTGTGTTCCTTTATTACAAAGTTTCTCAGGAACTGGTTTCTAAAGGAGCTTTGTTAGAAAAGCACACCAGCACATCAAACCACAGAAAGCTCCTTATGTGCTAATTTGAGAATGGCTCTAAAATCCATTGCAAAGCAGGGTGCAGAGAATGTGAAAGTTACGCCTCTTGTCTCGGTGGGCAGGGAGAAAAATATTTGGTATAAATACGTATATCTATTAAAAGCATACCCTCTACACATGATGGAATGTTGTTGGCTCCAGGGAGGAAAACTGAGTAGCTAGAGAAGGGAAGGAGAAGACTATCCTCTGTATTTTTAAGATTTTGAACGTATCTGTGATATGATATTTTGTTTGTTTTTGTTTTGAGACAGTCTTGCTCTGTCACCCTGGCTGGAATGCAGTGGCACGATCTCGGCTCACTGTAAACTCCGCTTCCTGAGTTAAAGTGACTCTCATGCCTCAGCCTCCTGAGTAGCTGGGACCACAGGCGCTCACCACCATGCCTGGCTTATTTTTTTTTTTTTTTTTTTTTTTTTTAGTAGAGACGGGGTTTCACCATGTTGGCCAGGCTGGTCTCAAACTCCTGACCTCAAGTGATTCACCTGCCTCGGCCTCCCAAAGTGCTGGGATTATAGGCCTGAGCCACTGCATCCAGTTTTGATTTTTTTTTGAGATAGGGTCTCTCATTCTTTTGCCCAGGCTGGAATGCAGTGGTGCAAACATGGCTAACTGCAGCCTTACTCTCCTGGGCTCAAAACCTCAGCCTACTGAGTAGCTGGGAATACAAGCATGCCACCATGCCCAGCTAATTTTTTATTTTTTAATTATTATTTTCTTTCTTTTTTTTTAGAGGCAGGGTCTCACACGTTGCCCAGTCTGACCTTGAACACCTGAGCTCAAGCAATCCTCTTACCTCGGCCTCCCAAAGTGCTGGGATTACAGGCGTGAGCCACCACGTCCGGCCAGCCCTACGATTTTTTAATGCAAATATGAATGTATTATCTATGCAAAAGGTTGTTTTTAGTAGCCAGTCAGGCCCAGGCCACGTTCTCCATCTAAAGAAGGCCTTTTACTCTCAGGAAGTAAACATGAAGAACTGAACACATGCCAGGCGCCCAGCACACCTAGATTCTCGTGGCTGTTGGTGGCACTGGAAAAGCCGCTCCTTGACTCGCCACTTCTCTTCCTCCATCACCTTCCTTTTGTCACAGGCCCGGAGGTTGACAAGGGTCATAGCATCGCAGAGAAGTGCATCCTTTACCTCTTGATCAAGGCGTGAGTCCGTGGTAAAGCTTGGAGAGTGATTTACCTGCCAGGAGGAGTCATTATACACCCCTTTCCTCAACCGCCTGAGCAGGTGGTGGCCGCCTGCAGGCATAACTAGAGGGTCTAAGATATTCCTCTCACATGGCCTCAGCCAGAGGGGCCCAGATGCTCTGGCTTCCAAGGCCACAAAACTCTGCCATAGCTATCCCTCCAAGTCACAGACATGTGAGAGCAAATCAGCCTGCCTGCCTCTGTGGACAGTGTGTCCCTAAAGGCTTACATTAGGTCACTGGGGATCCAAAACCTGCATTCCTAAGGTAGAAGCCAGAAACCACCAAGATTTGACTCAGCAGGTCAAAAAGGTAGAGATCTTATGGCTTCTGCAGATTCCCACCCACCCCAGGGCTTCTGCGTCTCCCATTCTGTGTCTCACCACCTGAGTATACCCCTGCCCAGGTGTCCTATTCAAGGAGGCCTCTGGACCTTGGTTTTGCAAAGCCTAGAAGATAATCCTCACCTCTAGCAGCCAAGGCTTCAACTTGTGGTCCAGCAAGATGTCAAAACCAAGGATCTCAAAACAGGCACATGTACCTCCACTCAGATACTGGGGGAAACAGGTTCGGTAGTTGTGGCGAAGAACAGGATGGGCTGAGATGATGGTTTTGATGATGATGTCCTCGATGTCCCCCCACAGCTCTCCAGGGTTGTAGCTGTGCTCTTGCAGCCAGATGTTGAGTGTCGACAGCTTCCTGTGAGGCCCAGTGCTCAGAGGAAGGCCAATTTATAGGCCACTGGGGCCAGGCTGTAGGCAGGAGGCTCCCTCAAACTAACCCTAAATGCACACCCTGGCTCTGAAGGGCTGCTAGCAGTTTGGACCAGGGACTAGTTATCAGGGTGGGGCTGGGGCTGCATTTAGTGCTCCAAAGTGCAGGTGCGGGACAGGGTCTATAAAGGCTGAGTTTCCCTGGGCAATTAGCCTCCCAAGAGCCAACTTGGTTTCATGGGCTACTGGGACTATGGGGTTAAGGGGCTGATGAAACAGGAGAAAACGGGAGGGATTACCTCTTACTGCTCACAGCGCCATCCCGGACAAAATTCTCATTGTGTTTGTTGATAGCATAGTTGGTCAGGTGCATGCAGACATTGTCCTGTGGAGAGAATGGCCCTGTGGTCTCAGACTGTCTGCATGCAGCCATCCTCTCCAGCCCTTCATTGCCTTGTTACTCCCCACACCTCCCCAGGATCTCTCATCTGTCTGTCTCCACCAGAGAGAGGGTTAGCTCTTCTGGACGATCCTGGGCAAGAGGGTAAGCTGGACTCCTCCGAACGCTGACCTTTTCTCAGTCACCACCCACCAAACGCTCGCCTCCCAGCCAGATGCTGCAGCTCTCTCTGGCTTTATTCCTTGTTCTTGGGTGACGGTGACAAACCTGTCTACCGTGTTTCTCTCTCTCTCTCTCTTTTTTTTTTTACAGACGGGTTCTTGCTACGTTCCCCAGGCTGGAGTGCAGTGGCTATTCACAGGCGCGATCCCACTACTGATCAGCACAGGAGTTTTGACCTGCTCTGTTCCCGACCTGGGCCGGTTCACCCCTCCTTAGGCAACCTGGTGGTCCCCCGCTCCCGGGAGGTCACCATATTGATGCCAAACTTAGTGCAGACACCTGATCGGCATAGCGCACTACAGCCCAGAACTCCTGGACTCAAGCAATCCTCCAGCCTCAGCCTCCCGAGTAGCTGGGACTACAGGCATGTGCTGCCACACCCGGCCCTACTGTGTTTCTCTAAAGAACCTCAGCACTCACGGCAGTGGAAGGGAAGAGTGCTTCCCAGCCCCCTTACCAGGTTGTTATGGCTGGGCTCCACATAGGGCGTGGTTGCAAAACGGGCCAGGCCCTCCTCATACATGAAGATCCGGAGAGGGTCACAGGATGTGATCAGGACGTAGATTCGCATATCAAACTTGAAGCCATCAATGAGGAAGGGCTGGGAGCATGCAAATCCATGAGGGAATAACAACACTTTTCAAGTGCCTACTATGT